CCCAGATCCTGAGTCAGACGTAACAACCCAGTGTTTGGTTAATTTTTGTGTTACCCAGATCCTGAGTCAGACGTAACAACCCAGTGTTTGGGTAGTTTTTATGTTACCCAGATCCTGAGTCAGACGTAACAACCCAGTGTTTGGGTAGTTTTTTGTGTTACCCAGTTCCTGAGTCAGACGTAACAACCCAGTGTTTGGGTAGTTTTTGTGTTACCCAGATCCTGAGTCAGACGTAACAACCCAGTGTTTGGGTAGTTTTTGTGTTACCCAGATCCTGAGTCAGACATAACAACCCAGTGTTTGCGTAGTTTTTGTGTTACCCAGATCCTGAGTCAGACGTAACAACCCAGTGTTTGGGTAGTTTTTGTGTTACCCAGATCCTGAGTCAGACGTAACAACCCAGTGTTTGCGTAGTTTTTGTGTTATGCAGGTCCTGAGTCAGACGTAACAACCCAGTGTTTGCGTAGTTTTTGTGTTACCCAGATCCTGAGTCAGACGTAACAATCCGGTGTTTGGGTAGTTTTTGTGTTACCAAGATCCTGAGTCAGACGTAACAACCCAGTGTTTGGTTAATTTTTGTGTTACCCAGATCCTGGGTCAGACGTAACAACCCAGTGTTTCGGTAGTTTTTGTGTTACCCAGATCCTGAGTCAGACGTAACAACCCAGTGTTTGGGTAGTTTTTGTGTTACCCAGATCTTGAGTCAGACGTAACAACCCAGTGTTTGGGTAGTTTTTGTGTTACCCAGATCCTGAGTCAGACGTAACAACCCAGTGTTTGGTTAATTTTTGTGTTACCCAGATCCTGAGTCAGACGTAACAACCCAGTGTTTGGGTAGTTTTTATGTTACCCAGATCCTGAGTCAGACGTAACAACCCAGTGTTTGGGTAGTTTTTTGTGTTACCCAGTTCCTGAGTCAGACGTAACAACCCAGTGTTTGGGTAGTTTTTGTGTTACCCAGATCCTGAGTCAGACATAACAACCCAGTGTTTGCGTAGTTTTTGTGTTACCCAGATCCTGAGTCAGACGTAACAACCCAGTGTTTGGGTAGTTTTTGTGTTACCCAGATCCTGAGTCAGACGTAACAACCCAGTGTTTGGTTAATTTTTGTCTTACCCAGATCCTGAGTCAGACGTAACAACCCAGTGTTTGGGTAGTTTTTATGTTACCCAGATCCTGAGTCAGACGTAACAACCCAGTGTTTGGGTAGTTTTTTGTGTTACCCAGTTCCTGAGTCAGACGTAACAACCCAGTGTTTGGGTAGTTTTTGTTTTACCCAGATCCTGAGTCAGACGTAACAATCTGGTGTTTGGGTAGTTTTTGTGTTACCCAGATCCTGAGTCAGACGTAACAACCCAGTGTTTGCGTAGTTTTTGTGTTACCCAGATCCTGAGTCAGACGTAACAACCCAGTGTTTGCGTAGTTTTTGTGTTACCCAGATCCTGAGTCAGACGTAACAATCCGGTGTTTGGGTAGTTTTTGTGTTACCAAGATCCTGAGTCAGACGTAACAACCCAGTGTTTGCGTAGTTTTTGTGTTTCCCAGATCCTGAGTCAGACATAACAACCCAGTGTTTGGGTAGTTTTTGTGTTACCCAGATCTTGAGTCAGACGTATCAACCCAGTGTTTGGGTAGTTTTTGTGTTACCCAGATCCTGAGTCAGACGTAACAACCCAGTGTTTGGTTAATTTTTGTGTTACCCAGATCCTGGGTCAGACTTAACAACCCAGTGTTTGGTTAATTTTTGTGTTACCCAGATCCTGGGTCAGACGTAACAACCCAGTGTTTGGGTAGTTTTTGTGTTACCCAGATCCTGAGTCAGACGTAACAACCCAGTGTTTGGGTAGTTTTTGTGTTACCCAGATACTGAGTCAGACGTAACAACCCAGTGTTTGGGTAGTTTTTGTGTTACCCAGATCCTGAGTCAGACGTAACAACCCAGTGTTTGGGTAGTTTTTGTGTTACCCAGATCCTGAGTCAGACGTAACAACCCAGTGTTTGGGTAGTTTTTGTGTTACCCAGATCCTGAGTCAGACGTAACAACCCAGTGTTTGGGTAGTTTTTGTGTTACCCAGATACTGAGTCAGACGTAACAACCCAGTGTTTGGGTAGTTTTTGTGTTACCCAGATCCTGAGTCAGACGTAACAACCCAGTGTTTGGTTAATTTTTGTGTTACCCAGATCCTGGGTCAGACGTAACAACCCAGTGTTTGGTTAATTTTTGTGTTACCCAGATCCTGGGTCAGACGTAACAACCCAGTGTTTGGGTAGTTTTTGTGTTACCCAGATCCTGAGTCAGACGTAACAACCCAGTGTTTGGGTAGTTTTTGTGTTACCCAGATACTGAGTCAGACGTAACAACCCAGTGTTTGGGTAATTTGTCAGTTACACTTTTCTTTTGAATTTTCTATTCATAAAAGAATCTTGAAAAATGAAATGTATGACTGTTTTCAACATTGATAATAATCATAAATGTTTCTTGAGCATCAGGGGCCGTATTCACAAAGAATTTTAAGGCTAAAAGTAGCCCCTAACTGGCGAATTTAGGAGCAACTCCTAAAAATAATGGGCGTGTCACTCCTAACTTTAGGACTCCTAATTTTTTTCGCTAAGAGTAATTCACGAAGCATTTTAGCCCTAAAAGTAGCACCTAAGTCTGGGACAGCTTAAAAGAAGTCGAGAGGACTCCTAACTCACTAAGACCTATTCCAGGGGTAGGCAAGTTCGGTCCTAGAGAGCCGCTGTCCTGCAGAATTTAGTTCCAACCCTAATCAAACACACCTGAACAAGCTAATCAATGTCTTCAGGATTACTAAGGCTATAGGCAGGAGAGGTTTTTTTCAGTGTTGGAGCCAAACTCTGCAGGACAGCGGCTCTCTAGGACCGATCTTGCCTACCCCTGACCTATTCACAAAGGATTGTAGCGCACACCACCGCCTCTCGCAGTCGTCCGGGGTCCGCGTCACAAGCAGGAATGCTGCATTGATCTGCAAACAAATCCTCTCCCATGTGTTTTGCTTGATATCCCAGTGCCGAATTTCCAATTTATCTTTTTTTTTTTCAGCACCAACTGAGCCAGCAGCAGTAATGGTGTGTTCACACCGAACGCGATTTTAATTATTTGCGCGAGTAGATTACATACAAAGTCAATGCAAAGACGCGAACAGACGCATCATTCGCGCCGGGCGTTGCGAATGACGCGAATTGGGCGACGCGTTTGCCGCGAATGTCTTCCGCGCAAGTTGAAAAATTTGAACTCGAGCGAATGTTCAAGCGTCTAACTAGACGCGTCTAAATAAACGCGTATTTGACGCTATATTCGCGTTCGGTGTGAACACACCATAACTGATCCTGCGTCCAGTTCGGCTTTCTTTTCCGTTTTGGCGAGTTCATAATCCACCGTCAATTTAACTATTACATTACTTCAAGGAGCAACATTTCCTTGCTTTAAGTAGTCTATTTAGGCTAGTAGGAAGTCATTAATGTGTTAATGCAAAGTGTTAAAGGAGTAGTTCACTCAAATGCCCGCCTTGCTCTGTTCTGTGTGACTCTCCTGTTCGAACTCGTTCATCAAAATGAACGAATCTTTTTTCGAGTCATTTGATTCATTTAACGAACGAAATGAACGAATTGACTCGGAAAAAGATTCGTTCATTTTGATGAACAAGTTCGAACAGGAGAGTCACACAGCACAGAGCAAGGCGAGCATTTGAGCTTATAAAACTTAAACTTTGTTATTTATTTTTTAAATGAACGATCGTTTCGCTTGATAAAACCCTTATTCATCGTCTGGAATCGTTTAAAGCCCTTTGAACAGTTTGCACTGAAACTGTCTTTTGGACCTTGGACCGTTTGGTGCCCAGTAAAGTGCATTATATGGAGAAAAATCCTGGAATGTTTTCATCAAAAACCTTCATTTCTTTTCGACTGAAGAAAGAAAGACATGGACATCTTGGATGACATGGGGGTGAGTAAATTATCAGCAAAAGTTTTTTTAAAAGTGAACTACTCCTTTAATGCAAGTGTCGTTTTTCATTATTAGGCAAGTGGCTGTTTTCATTAGGGTATTAGGCTACCTTGATTTAATTTAATTTACGACTTTTTTCTCTCTCTCTGCCTTTTTAGAATTACACTTCACTGGGGCCTGCACAAACATGATATGCATTTCGATGACATTACTATTATTATTTTGTGTAGGACACAGACATATTTAGATGTCGTAATTCCATGATTTGTTGCGTCTGTATTATGTTCCGCATAATACACGTCATCCATAGCAACGCCCGCACGTCATCCATAGCAACGAAGACTCACTCTTAGTTTAGGAGTTGTCAGTTTTCCTTACTAAGAGTAGGTCTGAAAGGCGTTGTGAATAACTTTTAAGAGAAAACTCCTAGCTAAAATATTTTAGAGCGATTTAGGAATACTTTGAATAAAATTCTTTGTGAATACGGCCCCAGGTCATCATATTAGAGTGATTTCTGAAGGATCATGTGACACTGAAGACTGGAGTAATGATGCTGAAAATTCAGCTTTGATCACAGGAATAAATTACACTTTACTGTATATTCACATAGAAAACAGCTGATTTACATTGGAATAATATTTCACAATATTACTGTTTTTTTATCAAATAAATGCAGCCTTGGTGAGCAGAAGAGACTCTTTCTTTCTTTTCTTTTTTTACATTAAAACCGATAGTTTAGTTTTGTGTTTTAATCTTCACTCAGTGATGAAATGATGCCACCGCTCTCCGTTGTTCCAAACCAGTCTTTCAGAAATTACACCTTTTTTTTTGTGGAGAATGTGCAGATTCTGAGTCTGTGGAGACGAGCATCTGTCTTTCTCTCTGTGTGTGTGTGTGTGTGTGTGTGTGAGATCAGCTTTCTCAGCTCAGTCGAGCTTCCAGAAAACATGCTGTCAGTTTCTCCAGTCGAGAAACTCAATCACAGTCGATAACAGACTGAAGTGTGTGTGTGTGTGAGTATGAGTGTACTCACACTCCTCCTCTTTCGGGTCGAGTTGAGTGACGCTGATTGACAGGCGGTCGACTCTCTCCTGGAGTGAGTTCACTCGAAACGAGAAGGAATGAGCTTCATTAAAGAGTTCTCCGAACAAATCCTCCGCATATTTACCTGAACACACACACACATAGAAACACGTATCAGCATAGACAAACCTGTTATTCTCATGATTATTAAGCTCATTTTTAGTACTTCTCATTAGTACACACACACACACACACACACACACACACACTCACTGAGGCTACTCAGCTGTCGTATGACGTTGGCCAGTGAAATGTTGGTCACACACTCCAGCTCATTTCTGATGGTGTGTGGAAGAGCCGTGTGACACAGATGACGAGGCTCGATGCTGCGCTTCACCAGCGGCATCCTGGAACACACACACACACACGTCCTGCGACTGCGACACCTGAGAGAGAGAGAGAGACAGACGGAGGGACGTCAGATACACACACACACCTGAGAGACAGATGGACATCAGATACACACACACACACACGTCCTGCGACTGCGACACCTGAGAGAGAGGGAGAGACAGACGGAGGGACGTCAGATACACACACACACCTGAGAGACAGATGGACATCAGATACACACACACACACACACACCTGAGAGAGAGACAGTCAGACGGACATCAGACAGACACACACACACACACACACACACACCTGAGAGACAGATGGACATCAGATACACACACACACACACCTGAGAGAGAGACAGACAGACGGACATCAGACACACACACACACACACACACACACACACACACACACACACACCTGAGAGAGAGACAGTCAGACAGGCAGGCGAATATCACACACACACCCCTGAAAGAGAGACAGACAGACGGACATCAGACACACACACACACACACACACACACACACACACACCTGAGAGACAGATGGACATCAGACACACACACACACACACACACACACACACCCCCGAGAGAGAGAGAGACAGACGGACATCACACACACACACACACACACACACACACACCCGAGAGAGAGAGAGAGACAGACGGACATCACACACACACACACACACACACCCGAGAGAGAGAGAGACAGACGGACATCACACACACACACACACACACACACACACACACTCACAGCTGCTCGACACACTCAGGCAGAGATAATCACATTAACAGCGAGAGATTCCACCGTTTAAAGCAGTGTTACAGTTGCAGTGTGAGTGAGCCGTCAGATGTGCAGGACTGTAACCAACAACCACAGATTATACATTAAATACTGTAACACACACCTTATTTACAATTTAAAAAGAATAACTTTCTGATGTCCACCAGAGGGCACTCCTCCCGACTCCTTCATCCCATCATGAACTACATTACCCATAATCCATTGCCTGGACTCATTATGGTTTGATTAGTTCCACCTGTGTGTCATCATGTCCTTCGGATGAGGCGTGAAGCCGAGGTCCTGACTCTCTGTGGTCATTAGTGTTCAGTCCCTCACACTGAACGGTTTTCCGAGATCGATTCAAAATCCGATTCAAAAAGAGAGCGCGGGGAGGAGGGAGGCGTTATAGACCAGAATATCAGTATCTTAAAGGAACACGCCACCGTTTTTTGAAATAGGGGTTAAGGCCCTTGCACACTGAGGGCCCTATTTTAACGATCTGAAACGCAAGTGTCAAGCGCGAAGCGCAAGTAACTTTGTGGGCGGGTCTTGGGCGCTGTTGCTATTTTTCCGGCGGGATAAATGACTCTTGCGCCCGACGCAAGTTTAAAAGGGGTTGGTCTGAAGTAGCTTCATTATTCATAAGTGTGGTTTGGGCGTAACGTGAAATAAACCAATCAGAGCGTCATCCAACACACCCTTTAAGAGCAGGTGCGCATGTTGCATGGCGGATTGCTATTATAACGGCGGATTTACCCGGCGCGCATCAGGAGCGGTTCACAGCCGAGGAGACCGACGCTCTTGTCAGGGTCGTGAAAGACAGAGAAGTGGCGTTGTATGGGGACAGGAGAAACTCACACAAATCAGCGTCGGTTAAACAGGCGTGGGAGGAAAAAAACTAATTTTTTTTACATCTTCATGGACACCACAATGATTTCCCTCATGTGTTAATATTTTTCCTTGTTATAATGTATGATTTGCACAAATAAAAACTGCTGCATCTGTGTTGATGAGAGAATCACAGTGTATGCGCGTTGTGCACCCGCTACATTATGGCCAAGCATGCGCGCTTAAAATAGCATTATGAACAACGCGCAGCGCGCCACTGACTTTAGACTAGGTTTTTTCTGGTCAGTGGCGGAATCGTTTTCTGGAACTGCAGAATAGCATGAGGGAATGTTTGCGCTGAAACACGCCTCCTTTTTGCGCCGACCCGCCCAGGGAGCGCAAGTTCATTCCCTAGTTTACCGCCGTGTGCGGCTGTGGAGGGAAAAGCCCGCTTTGCGCGGGTGCAAAATAGGAATGATACATGCGTCAGTGTACAAAGTCATTTGCGCCGGGTGCAAGATAGGGCCCACAGTCCGAAATTTTCGCACGTTAACAAATAAATACGACCTTACGTTATGTCGATCACGTTTGCACACCGCCTCCGAAACTTTCGTCCGTCATAAAAAAATTCGGATCGGGTTCGATTTTCTGCGTTTTTCGCATCCGTAGCTCAAGCAGTTTGAATGGGGTTTTGACAATTCAGAGCCAGCGAATCACCAATACGAAAAAACGCATACGGAAATTTCGGACTCAGTGCGCAAGGGCTATTATTCACCGTCTCTTCTACATTTAGGCAAACGCATTTTTGTGTCAGTGCATGCATTGTCTTAGTTTGGTAGCGCCGCCGCTAGCTTAGCTTAGCACAATGAATGGAATCCTTTGTTGCCGGATAGCATGTCGTGAGTAAAAGTGATAAAAAAAATTTAAAATGAATAACTTCTTGTGGCCTGCGTATTCACAACAAGTACAAATAGCAATGCAGATTAAGACTAGGCGATATAGGCAGAGATTGACCTGGGACTATATTGGGGTGAAGCACAGGCGAAGCGCTGCTACCTGGGCGTAGAGATATCACGCAAAACATCCCCCGACTTCCATCAACATGCGTGACCGGCACCGAATAGCTTCAATATCTCTGCTCCCAAGTAAAGTCGTGCAGTGTGAAACCTCCTGTCGACCCATCGTGCAGTGTGAACACACCAGTGACTCGACCACTTAGAAAATCGTGCAGTGTGAGAACTATGGCCTCCTAATCATGAATCGGCTCTCTCTCCTCCACTACAGCGTGTGTGTGTGTGTGTGTGCTTCACACTGCTGGTGGATGAGGAGAGATTCCCTGATATGATTTTAAAGCGCTATATAAATACCTCATTTGTTTGTTAACGTTGGCCTATATAAGCTCTCTGTTTCCACACACACACTTTGCAAAGTCTTGTTTGTGTTACACTGCGTTTCTGAGTGTTTTTGCTGGTGTCCCGTACATATACGTATATGAATTAATATAATGAATACAAATTTCTAATGATGACCCTGTGTGCTCGGTGACCCATAATATATATATATATATTAGTGCTGTCAAACGATTAAAATATTTAATCGCAATTAATCGCACATTTTTATCTATTCTAAATGTCTCTTGATTTCTTTTTGTCCCATTATTTTTTCTCATTTTAATGCTCTTATCAACATGGAAAAGTGGATCGGCTTGCTTTGAGCAAATGTTTTTTTTATTGAAAACAACATTGGCATACAGTGTTCAATTTCGCACTAACATTCTCACTTGAAGCAAATAATCTCTCACACAATGTAACACTGTCCATCAATAAAAGGGTGAAAGAAATACTGACGAGGTCCTGATATTGACGAGGGGGCGGAGAATTCGCATCAGCTGTGTGTGTGTGTGTGTGTGTGTGTGTGTGTGTGCTTGGCCATCAAGTGGTATTTCAGACTGGACGTGCTGCGATGATGATAGCTCAGTTCACAACGACAAAACACACAGATCACTTTGGTCTCGTCAATGGAACCATTCGGCAACTTTTTAAAAGTAAACTTTCCATTCAGAATCTTATTGGCGTCCATTTCGGTGTCTCGCGCTCGTCATCCACTCAAAACGTAACGTTAACCTACTATTTGGCCGGCTCGCAAGCCCAAACAAGTGTGTGCGGCGTCGTGCCTGTTGTTTTGTTTCCGGTCTAGCTAGATCCGCTTGCGCTTTCAAAACGTCCTCGCGCGGTGCAAGCCATTGAAATGAATGGGTTTCATAGCGCCGCACCGCGTCCGGTTGCAAAAGCATGTGAAAAAAAAACGACAAAGTTTGCTAGGCCAAAAAGATCGTTAATCGTGCGATAAAAAAATTAACGCCGTTAAAATGGGTTTGCGTTAACGCCGTTAATAACGCGTTTAACTGACAGCCCTAATAATTATATATACAATTATATAGATATGCAAATGAGCCCCGCCTCCACTCACTCACTCAGCTCAGAGATCCACTGGTTGACGATCACACGTTGATCTGATTGGTTACAAGGTCGTTTGTGACGTCAGAAACACCAGCGATTTCAAACCGTGTTTTTGAGACTGTCTTTGGTTCACTGCAGTTTTAAGCAGGAAATACTCAGCAATGCTGTCGACTTATGAACTTACACATGGTGTGTCTTAAAGCGTATTAAAAATAGACAACATTAAAAACTTGAGTTTCACCACAGGGGGGCTTTAATAGTCTTGGTTTGGGTTCATTGTGTTTTCATGGGCTGGTGATTCATTCACAATAAGACCAGAGTCATGAATGAAATGAAATATCTGCTCGTTCCCGATCGCTGTTTGATATTATTATATTCGAGAGAGCGAGACTACGGAAATGAACACAACGCCCTCGTCCCATTTACGGCCCTCCGTCACCACGGCAACCTCGCGCTGGGATGCCGGTCATTGTCCTTCCCCCAAACATTCACACATCCCAGCATCCTCTGGGAACACACACACACGCTCCCGGGTATCCCAGCATGCTCTGCTCTCATGCTCATTCACACATGCCGAGGTCCAGCAAACAAACAAACAAGAATATTGTATATTTATGATTATATATCTGACCGTGATATAAAATTAAACGGCATCGTGAATAATGTTTGTTTCGGCATTGTTTGTTTTTTAACACCTGCTCGTATGAGAGCAATAATACAATAATTAAAATCATTTAAATAGTATTTCTTCTTTTGAACTGTCCATTTCATTAAACTGATTAAAATGTCATAAAAATACACACTATTGGTCAAAATTAAGCATCTCTTCTGCTCAAGGCTGCTTTTATATGATCAAAAATACAGTAAAAATAGTGAAATATTATTGTAATGTAAATCAGCTGTTTTCTATGTGAATATACAGTAAAGTGTGATTTATTCCTGTGATCAAAGCTGAATTTTCAGCATCATTACTCCA